TGATGCCACAGCTGTGCTGTATTATAATTTTTTCTCGTCAAAATTGTATATTCTGAAACCCAGAAGCGCCGATAACACTTGCACGGGCTCGGTCGGTATGACTAACCTTTGGTGGAAATCGTGGTGGTAGAACAGAAGGGTGACAGTCCGATTCGCTGGGGCTCATCTCGACGCGTCTCGAAAGTTGAAAGTTTATGCGTATTCGCACGCACTTTGTTAACTTAAAGTTACGGCTCAAACAATAGAGTGTGCAAGAATTACTAGAGTTGCGTTTCTAGCGTGGCGACATCAAGTGACCGCGCTGTTCTGCTCTTACATTGAAAGGGGCAATCGCTAACTGAAGCCAATTTATTTGTCGACAACTGCGTGCCGATGTACTGCGTGTCACTGCGTGTCATGTTCACAGTGACAACTCCATTCTTCTAAACATCTCAACAACAACAAAAAACACATCGCGGATGTCAAACTGATGTAAGTACGTGCGCGAAATGTAAACATATTCCCGGCCGCATACCCTATGCTCCACAAAAACTGAAGCGTTGTTGACACCACAGGAATTTAAAAAAAAAACAAATGTACTAGAAAGCGTAATGAGTAGCGTTGGTTTTTTTTTTTTGACCGTAAACATATATCTCTGCGCATTCAAGAATGAAACACTACAAATAAGTGATTTCACATACTGTATTGTGCTTTTCATCATGCCACCACCATCCTCCAAGCTTCCATCACGCCACCGTCATCCACCTTGCTCACCAAACCTTCCACCAAACACGTTTTGCCTCACTACCATAAGCCGGCATTTTCAACCGTCACCACCATTGGCTCGCCACCACCACCACCATCTGCCATCATCCACCAACCCAGGATTTTCAATATATATATATATATATATATATTTATATATACACACACACACATATATATATATATATATATATATATATATATATATATATATAGGTAGCCAACCCAATATTCAAAACAGAAACTTCGATAACTCTATATAAGTGCCCGAAATTCGGGGAAAATATATTCTCTTCGTGAAGAATTTGTGGAAGCTGCATTACCATTACGAAGAAAATGATGAGAGCCTTACAGTAGGGTATAGGCCAACGCAAATCCTATGAGCCCAAATATAAACATAGACAGCTTTATACAAATATAAAATGTAGGAGAACTGTTTTGAAAGTCTTGCAATTTCCGAATGAAAAACAGCAGTGTGATACTTAGTGGAGCACTGCGAATAAGACGTCCTGTGAAAATATTTATACTCAGAAACGCGCCCAGCATGCTCGGGGAAATAATAAGAGGAAGGGGTATTGCTTCGAGGTTAAACGCAATCCTAGCAATATAACAGCAAGCTCCAGCTATTTGCAGCTTCAAAGTGAACTCGTCGGCTGTACAGTGAAAAAGCAAGAGATGATGAGCATGAACAGTAAAGTGACGTCGGGAGACGATCGAAGAAATATTTCAACTTTCACCTACAAATACACACCAGAATATCTAGGTAAAGTCTTTTTTTTTATGAAAGCAAAAAAGAGTTTTTGGCAGGTGCAGTTCTTGTATTTTCAACAAATAATGAATCTTTGTCTTTTCAACTGATAGAAATCAAACGCATTTACCTGTCGAGAACGGTACGCTCAATGCATGTTTATATTATTAGAGAAGCAGCACTATACCGCTGTCAATTCAGGTTCCCGATATGTCAAAGGTTTTCAGGAAGGAATCAGGCACGAACCAGACACAAGATGAGACAACACAAGAAGAAATTCTGACAAACGTCTACTGACAGAACGTTAGTAGGCGTTCGCCCATATCTCTTTTTGTGTCTGTTTCGTTCACGCTTTATTACTTCCGTAAAACATGCACCAACCAGCCCATAAAGAATTTCTACTCGAATATCAAACGTTCTACATTGCCTAGGCCGTTGATGTAAAGAGTAACGGCATGGTTAAGTTGCCCACTTTTTCACTGTTCAGCGTAGGCATCCGGGCATGTACAAAGTCGTTCCGAGCAGCAAAAACTTATTAACGAAAATTGACGTTCGCACTGTTCTGCATGCAGCAAAGCTACTGCTGTGTGTTCCACGTAGCCACACAGCCACAGTGCCAGAGATCACACACTCGTGTTTTTTTGTTTTACATTCTACGCGCTTCTGATGAAAACCATCGTTTCGAGTGAGACGCATTGCAAGGTGCTCGGGCTGTCGTAAGCTGTCGTCGTCACTTGGCGCTAAGCAGGCAAAGTCACCTATAACATAGTCATCTAAAGCACAGCCATCTACAGAAAGAGTTGTGGTAAAAAAAAAAGTGAGGCTGAGTAGAAGAGGCGTCGCGATGAGGCTGATGGAAAGAAAGAACAGATGGGAGAAGAAAGGCAATATTTTGTCACTGTATTCCGTCATAATATGCCACCGCTTCGAGTCACACTCGCAAAACAATGTATAACATAGCCTTGTACACCGAGGGGGAGGAAAGGGAAGCCAGTGGAAGTAATGTCTCGAGGCTCATCAGGAAAAGGACAATGAGAAGGGGAAAAAAGAAATCGTGGCTAGTCATGTATGGCATTAGGCAAGAGTATTGTGTATTGCCTAGACGCGTATGGCAAGGAGTGGAAAGGGACGTAAGAAAGAGGAGTTATTTGAGAGTGGAAAGGATTTGAAGGAGGAAGGAAAAAGGTAAAGTATAGCACAGAGATGCATAAAGTTATAGAGGCAGAACTACGTAAAGAAAACCATGCATAGCAAGGGGCAGCGTAAGAGAACAGACTGGGAGGGGCGTTGTAAGAGAAAGATGATGGAAAATGCGAAAGACGAAAGTAAAAAGTACCACATTCATGTATTTCATCACGCGCGCAAAACCATTATAGCACAGCTGGGTTCAAGAAGGGGTAAAAAAAGGAAGTGAGCATGAGGAGGAGTCGATAAGGGTAGGTAGAATTGAAAGAATTCCTGGAAAGAAGGGGGTAAAGCATAGCATTATCTCGTTTGAGATTTGGCACACGGTGCCATGTATGTCCTAGCCATGTATAGCAAAGGAGCGGGAAAGAGAAGTGAGGGTGAGGAGGAGAAATTTCACGGTGTTAGAGTATGTAAAGGGGGAAGGGCGAGAATAAAATTAAGAGACCCTAAAGCTTCGCCTTTTGGAGTTGAACGCGATAGCGACATCTTGTTCTTAGTGTACAACTCAAAGACTTAGTGCATGAAACTTTTTTTAAGTTTGCTATGCACCCACTACGTAGCCTTAAGCGAATAGGCGCAGTAGCATGTGTGCCTTTTTTAGCGAGGTACCAGCCTTGAACCACTGAGCCATCTTCATATTCACATTATCTAACACCTGTTAGCAATGAACACTTGCACTACGCATTATACTGCAATATTTTATGTTGCATTGTGAAGCATGTATAAACGAAGCGTGTGTTTGTGAAGCATGAAAGCTAGTTTCATTGCATTTCCAAGCAGAGGAAGATATTTTCACTGTTTTTACAAGTAGAGGCGTGGCCGTGTGGTAGAACATCCCCTTGCCGTGCAAACAACTCTTGTTCGATCCCCAGTTGGACCACAACAACCCTGGTTCTGTCCTCATTTCGCTCCAGAATCTTTTATATGATTTATTTGCATTGTTCTCAATTTTTTGCTGACGCATAAAACGATAATTTTTCCCTCACAACCAACGACGCCGACGCCGGAATTTCTGCGAAATGAGCTCATTAACGGTATTGGTATGGTATGGTAGTGCGTTAAAAGCATACTATACTCGTGTAGGGCGTCGCGCAAGCAGAACCATGCGTAACATAGCTGTGTTATAACAAGAGGGCACAAAAGAAGAAAGACGGAAAGGATGAAGGAGGGGATAAAGCAAAGAAGTCATGCATGACACTGGGCAGGCAGCAACACGTATAGCATAGCCTGTGTAACAGGGCTAGTAAAATGGGAAATAAGGGTGAAGAGGAGGCAAATGTGAAGGGGAGAGGGTAATGCATAGCATGGTCATTCATGGTATTTTACTGGCAGAACTACCGAGAGCATAGCATTGTATTGCAATAGTACATGAATAGGAAGTGATGGTAAGGTGGAGTTACATTAGTGTGAGGAGCAAGAAAGGAAAAAGGGAAAGGATATGTATCGTCACATCTTGCTACAGATACAACATATCATTGTCATATATGGCATCAGACAGGGAGAACCTTGTATGGCGATTGATGATTTGATTTGTCGGGTTTAACGTCCCAAAACCACGATATGATTATGAGAGACGCCATAGTGGAGGGCTCCGGAAATTTTGACCACCTGGGGTTCTTTAACGTGCACCCAAATCTGAGCACACGGGCCTACAACATTTCCGCCTCCATCGGAAATGCATGCCGCCGCAGAGAACCATGTATGGCACACCCGTTTGTAACAATGAGTTGGAGAAGAGAAGTGAGGCTGAAGAAAATGTAGAGGAGGAAAAGAGAGGCTAAGGCATAAGAGTGTAAGCTATGCTGATTGATACAGAAGCGTAATACTAATAAACAGTGCGAAAATAGCAATAGATTGTTCTTTTCGGGCTTTTTACTTTTATTAGGTAAAGCATAGCTAAGCCATGTATGGCACCACGCAGGCATTACTAGAGAATATTGTAAGTAAACTTGGCGCAACTTTGAAATCTTCCAAAGCACTCACACACTCACACACTCCTCCGCTCAAGAAACACTCACCACAAACAGCACTCACAGGTACCATTGTACCACAAATATAGCTTATTCAAAGTTGTTCGGCGAGGACGGTAACTCGTCATTTTTTGTGTAGTTTGTGTGTGGTTTATGTGGCTTCTCAATGTAGAACATCAACGTCAACTGCAGTCTCAATATTCTTCGCGAGGTTTGAAGTTATTAGATTTTATAAAAATTATTACACTTAATAAAAGCACATAGATTGAACACATGTACATGATATGCACGCCGATACATACACACAAAAAGGGTGAACATTGCAGAAAGAAAGGGCCGATCACACTCACCCCGTCCGGAAGAATCGCACCCAGTAGGACATGGTGGTCTCAGAGAGCGCGGCCTCCTGCTTGGTGTAGTTACCATACAGCGGCGCACCTGATCCCAGCATGGGCAGGCCAAGCACGTACGGCAGGTCTTCGCCGTGCACGCAGCCGTTCTTTTGCGCGAATGACGACTCGTCCGAGTGGTAGCCGAACAGGTAGAAGTGCGTCGTCGGCACGCGACCGCCGACCTTGTTGCCACCTCCCTTTTGCTGTTTAGCTGCCTTGCGGGCGGCCCCAGCTGCAGTGTGAAGCGTGCCGGCTTCAACAACGGGCGCCACGACGAGCGCGTCACTGAGCGCCTCAGCCGTTTCTTCGAGTATGCTGGCCGGATGCTGCACCGACCGGGTCCAGTCTGTGTATTCGTTGACGACGGTCAGAAAGATTTCCTGCTGGTGGAAGCTGTACAAGTTGCGCACTAGCGTGCGCAGAAGTCGGTCCCGGCGGTCCACCTGGGTAGTACAGCAAAGTTTTTTTCGCTCCACTGAATTATCGAACCCAAGTCACTTTGAATCTATCTATCTATCTATCTATCTATCTATCTATCTATCTATCTATCTATCTATCTATCTATCATCTATCTATCTATCTATCTATCTATCTATCTATCTATCTACGCCTGGGTGCGGTCGTGGTCATCTCCATAACTTGGCTTGTTCCGAAATTGGGAAAGGAGGGCGTGAATGCGCAAAGAACACAGTGCACGGGTCATGACGTGACTAAAGTGACTATTTTGTCGTTTACATCGATAAATCACTTCCATCAGTCACGTGTGGCACATACCCACATACCAAGGCTTATGGTGTGTGGGTATGAGCCACAGGTTCACAGTTGGAGCCCGCATCACAGAAAATGCGGTGCCTGGGTCACCAGTGTCATGGATGATTTGAGCATCTCTAGATCAGCAAACAATATAAAAGTACGCCATCTATACCATGGAAATGATGATGAAAAAGCTCGCTCAGAATTGATCGGGATAACCCGTGAGTTCTTTTGATGAGGCCCTTCTTGAAGGATGCCTTGTTACGCAGCCCGCGCTTGAGGCGTACGTCAAATTCAGCGTCGTCGGGCACGTTCCGCTGCAGGCACTGGACGAGAGGAAACTCTTGATGGAGCATGGCGATGGCGTTGGCGCATGACGGGACGTTGCGGATGGAGGCGATGGCAGTGTGCTTATTGTCAAACCACAAACGGTCGCACAACCGTGTCCGAACGAACGATGGTAGATGTCGCTCTTGAAGCGGTATATCTGAGGTTGGTGCCACCAACCTCAGATATACCGACCGCTTTCGGCGCTCGACCACTGCTGCGCCGTGCTCCCGACCGGGTTGCAGAAATTAGGTGCCTTTTCTCATCTTCTTATCACTACCACCACTACCCTCACCCGCTCCGGTACGAGGCTCCCTTTCCACCGCTTGCGTGCCGCCTCAGCTTCGCGGGCTCTCATTTGGGTCTCCGCTTGTCAACGAGCTTGTTTTGGTGGCGCAAGCCCTCGCCACTGCCGCCACCCTAGAATCGATGCTGGTGCAGTCTGGTGGTTGCTTCCGACGCTGCCTTCTTTCTTCAGTTTCGCAAGCTTTCATAGGAAAATCTTGGTGGCGGGCCCGCATTGGAGCCATGTCACGAGCTTTCCTCACCGCTACCTTCGCTTACAAGGTGTTCATGATAAGTAGCTGCGTGGAGATGTGCACTCGCTTAGCTCCCGGCAATGGGAAAGGAAGCGTGCCAAAAGCGCTCGCGCTCTATTTGAGAGCTATCGTATACGCCAAGAAACGTGCTCCGAACAAAAGAAGCTTGGCGAGGAAGCTCCTAAAATCTCGGCTCGAGCCGTTACTGAGCCCGGCATCCTGCACGACTTTTCGGTATTCTACCAGAGACCCCCATCAGCGTTTCAAACAGCATCGACTTCAGAGCATACAAAATGGTCATGTCTATAGAACGTCAAGTGTGGTTTCAATCATGGCTACCCGCTTTTATAAAGAATCAAGGCAGTTTTCGCACCAGTGGTGCCAAGCTTCAAGAGAAGAGAGGTAATAAGCATAAACGAGTGCCTGAAGGAAGCACGGTGCTGTGTGGGCCTCTTCGTCTTTTATTTTTTCATGCTTTCATGTCTTTACTTTTTTTGCTCTCTACTCGAAGTGTTTTTTTTTTTCTGTGTCTATTTCTATCTCTGTCTTTCTGTCCATACAGGTTTTGTTCTCTTTCTGGCTGTTTCTATCTTCACATTTTTTGTTTTTTTTTTCAATCTCATTTTTTTGTGCTTTCTCTGTCTGTCGGTTATTATCTCTGTTTCTGCTATTCTTCCCTTTTGTAATTCGTTATTTTTTTCTCTTTTTTTCTAAGCTTTGCTTTACGTTATGGTGCTCGACTGCTAACTTGAAGGTTGCGGGATTGAACTCCGGCTGCGGCGGCTGCAATTTCGACTGAGGCGAAAGTGTTTGAGGCTTGTGTGTTTGATTGAAGCACACGTCAAAGAACCCCAGGTAGTCGAAATTTCCGGAGCCCTCCACTACGGCGTCTCACATAATCAAATCGTAGTTTTCGTACGTTAGACCCCAGATAATATTGTTATCTTAACCTTTCCCTCCACATCATCGCTTCTTTTTTCCGCCTGATGACTATATTATATAACGCAAGAGTATTTCTTGTCCTGTAGGCGTTCCTGGATAGCCGAGTGGTTTCCATGCTTGTTTTGAAATTGTTGATACCTGGTGTCGAATCTCACCTCATTAGCAAAGTTTTTTCGGGAAGAGTTTCTCACCCACCGTGTTTATTTCTCTTTATATTTCACGATCTTTCTTTCTCCTTTTTTCTCCTTTTAATTTTTCCTTGATACCCTTTCTGCCTCTCATTCTAGTTAATGCTTCCCACAATCAACCATTGAGCCCAGCAGCAGAGCATTCACCAGCTGCAATCGATCGCAGAGTGAAACCATGTTTGGAGATGCTCATGATTAAAGAGGACAAGGCAAGTGCGCACTGGCCAAGTTATTGCAAAAAGTACCGAAAGCGAGCTTGCTGCACTAGGACGTTGGCATTACTTCCGTTTTTTATAGCTAGTGCTGCACAAAATTAGTGTGTCTGCCACTATCGTGAAGCATGCATTGTTTTTCTTGCCCAGTTTTGCTACAAGCTTTACTCAAAAACGCAGACATAGCAAACATACAGAAAACGACTCACACCGCCAGACCTCTTGAAAGTACATAAGCACAAGCGTTCGAAATTTCTGTGCTAAAAGAGCAGGGAGGAGCATCGCAAGAGACCACCGAAGAGGAGGCTGCCTATAGTATAGAGTCACCACGTATGGTACCTTCTTTCTTTCTTCCTATCCTCTGGGGAGGGCTTGTTGCCATTCATTACCATGACCGTAACACCGTGGCCCAACTTTTCGCTTCGGCCTCCTTGGTTCCCTAGGGCCTGCATCTGTCTTATTCTGTAGGTGTGGTCGATGTCCATGTATACACATCAGCCTTCGTTCATTGACGAACAAAGTGGCTTCCCGGTGGTCTCACCCAAGAAGTAGCCACTAAAGCAATCCGAGCAGCTCTAGCAAACCCACTAAATAACCCATGAGAATAAGAGACAAACCGAGTCTGGAAAGCCAGGGCAGAGAGGCGTCGTGACGGGCCTTCTTCCGGTGTTTTCTCCTGAACAAGGACAACAGAGCCCCAACCTCATTCTTTTTTTTACCTCTAGGCCAAATTCGTCCCAGAAAAATAAACAGACAAAGAAATTAAAACACAGTATGTCATCACAAACACAAGGTCTGAATGTTTACGGTTGTCCACAACAGGATGACACCTCTGGCAAAGTCTAGAATGTCGAGGTACTGTGCACGGTATGTCACACGGCATCAACAGATCTCTGATACTTTTGGTGCTCTGTTTTGTGATATTACAAATCAATCTTATCACGCCAATGAAACAAATATTAAGTATAATCAGCTCTGAAATGTGCGGTACATTCAATGTTTCCTTTTATATAGCAAATTGTAACGAAGAGCAAGAAAAGTGAAAGAACGTCCCCCCAAAAACAAGTTTCTCGTCCACCATGCATAATGTGAGAGGCAACGATGAGCCGTAACACTGACGTAGAAATGTTTTCAAAGGGCTAGTCGTGTATACTTCCACTTAATATGACAGCAATGAAAAGTACAATTAGCGTGAGGCGCAGATAGATTTCCACATTTCTGCAAGCCACTCATTGCGAAGCCATTCGCGTACATGGTGGCAGAAAAAAGTCAAGTTTATAATAATACTAATTGTAATTGATATTAATACTGTACAGGCAATCAAGTACTCGTATCATATACCACCTATTGGTCGTGCAAGTGCTGTTTCTGTATATATTCAGAAAAACACAGGCGTTGATTCTAAGTTCGAAGAAGCCTACCATTGCCGCAAACAAGCGAAAAGAAGGAGGGGGATTGCAATAGGAAGGACAGGGAGGTTAGCCAGTTGTAAACAAGCGAAAAAAATTATATATATATACCCGGCAATAAAGATGGAGACACTGAAGCCATTGCTTTGTTTTATACTGACCGTATGAGTATGGAATGTTAGTTTGGCGAAAGCTCGCAGGCCAGAATTAAGAGTCGTTTATGCGTTCCCAGGATTTGGAAACATGTGCACATCCTCAGCAGTGTCCGCGAGTCCCCGTAAGGCGTTCGCAATAAAGCTCCTCAGGACCAAATACAGTTAGTTCACTGTCTCTCTATTTGATGAACAGAAATTTTTATTGACATTCATTCGTGATTCAACATACGAGTGACCCACTGGAACAGCCCGGTGCACTGAGAGTAGCGTGCCACAATGCACGTCATTTTTGAGGCGGATAGTTCACATTTTTTCTGGTTGGAGAGTGCCGAAAATAGAAAAAAAATGCCGGAAAATAATTGTGAATGATGGGGCTTAACATCCCAAAGTCAGGGAAGCTCTACCGAGCATGCATCTGATTTGATGTTCCACGCAGAGGAAAATGTACAGGAGCCAATGGAGGGAAAGATGTGATAAGCATGCATAACATCGGTATGAAATTAAATGACGCAAAATGTGTAAATATTGAAAAGCGATGCAGGTTAACAGGGATGGCTTTGTCGTATACAGCGACTATCTGGCGCTATACCGGACTGCCAACATCTGGGCTCCGTCAATGGCAGTAATGGTGCTATCTTCGTCGGGTGTGGGGGAATGGTACATATCAGCCGCGGTAAAAGTCAAACTTGAACTTGCACTCAAATACAAAAAAAACGAACGTGCGTATCTACTTTGTCCCTGCAAAGTATCGTAAGATGAGACCCTGGAACAGCCGCTGAATAGACAGGATTGAAGGCATAAAAAAAAGCAAACAAGAAAAACGGTAAGTTTCAAAACACACCAGATTTCACTTAGTTTCAAAATTATATTTCGCAGTGCTGCAGAAATTTAGTTTCGTGTTTATAAGCAGATAAGATCTGATGGCGAAGTGCGTCGCATCATTGTGGTGTGTTTCGACATCATTTTCATTGCAGTGTCAAAGGTGAGAGTGACACTGGGCAAGATGACTAAAATAATGAATCGATCAAAGCTCAGTCAAAAGGAAAGGAATAAAACGTTACGATGACAGCAAAAAAAAAAGAATTTTGACCCTAGCACTTACCTCAAAGCCGTGCTTCTCTTCGTAAGCCGTGAACAAGAAGTACGCCTCGAAGCGCACTACACCGAACAGAAGATCGTAGTCTGCGTACGACGAACGCGGTGAGGACATCTCGTGGCGGGGCTCAGCGGGAACCACGGTGCCGTCGACGGTGGGGCCGAATGCCGAGAGGTGTTCGGGCACGGCAAGAGGGACGTCGACTAGTTCGCGTACGGGCCGATGACGTAGGCAGTCTCCGAGCGCGGCGCCGGTGCCAGACTCCGGACATCCCAGCGCCCTGCCCACTTGGCGCGCGTACCGCACCGCGTCCCGTGCGATGGCCCATGGGCTCAGCGCCGAGCCGGACATCATCACAGCGCGCTGGAACAGTCCGTTATCTGCGGGAACAGTAGAAAAGAACAGAAAATAGATTTGAGAGTGACACAATGTCTATTGAGTTGTGTGTTTGGAAAAAGTTTATTCTATCGTGGGACGCAATAAACCTATAGAAATAGCGCCTACTTAGGAAGAACAGGAAGTTTTTTTAACGAAAAACCATTATTTTAAGCAAAATATGCAAGTTGGATGCCACTGACATGCGACATGGCACACTGTAAAACAACTTGATAAAAATTGACATTTGTTTCCTATTCTTTTTTTTGCGAGTGTAGCCTGGGGCAAGCTTCGGTTCTTCTTAAACTGAGTTTTCTTTATTACAGAAAACTAGTGACCGGTGAAATAGGTGCTGTGTTCCGGTAAACTGGTGTAAACTCCTTAGAGGAAAAAAAAGGAAGAGTGCAAAAATAGATGAAAAACAGCAACAAAAAACGCAAAAGGCATAGCATATTTATGTTGCGTTAAGTACGTTAAATAACGCAACGTCAAACTTGTTGCGACTATTATGTTGAGAAAATATTCGTAGCTTTCAATCTTTCTTATATATACTTTCTTTTTTTCTATTTTTCTCTTTCTTGCTTTCTTTCTTTTTTGAACTTTTTCTTGCTTCTTTTAATTCGTTAACTCGATCATTCTTCTTTTGTTATTTTACTTTCTTTCTTTTGTTTATCTGTTGTCCGTCGGCCACTGCCGTCTTAACATCAGCGAGATATAACACGCGTCAATGCATAAAGCAAAAGAGGCCACACATTTTCTTTTGTAAAACCGAGGCATCGAAGGCGCCAACATGCCTAAACTACAGTGGGGTAACCTGTCCCAGGTCTTCAAGTTTGAAACTTTTAAAAGACACAGCAACAATCCAAACCCCGCGTTGATATATATCGGCTGCCAGGTGCCCACACACTGCAGCGTACTACGTTCGCACCTCACAACGTGGCACTTGAGCGAAACGAGCGGCTTTTAGGCAACGCTTCGCCTTCACTAGATGCTCTCGCTTTACGAGGACGCTGCAAGCTCGAGGCTAGAGCATGGTTTAGGAATTTACGACGAACGGCCTTCTTTACGGCCGCGGCGCCTGCCGATCAACGCCACGACCTGGCGCCACAACCAGTCGCTCAGAGCCAAGCCGTACACGGCTTTTCCTTGTTAGCTGATATAGAAACCACGCTGAAGTAAGGGTAAAGAGAGACCTACGAGTAAAATAGGCCTACAAGGAGTAAAGATGATAACAGTCAGATGTGACTGCAGCAACGGTATCAGCAGTTTCCCGCCCAAGCACAAGCAAATGTACCTGAAAGGGTTGAGATCACTTTCGTTGTACTCCATCCATGGTTCTTTTTTTTTTTCGTGCAAGCGACAGCGATCAGCTTGTGATGTCCCTGCTATAGTAACCGCCGTGACCCGACCTTTTAGCCGGGCGGTTTTGACGTCGACGAAATGACGCCGTCTGGTAGGCTCCTTTGATAAAGACGTCAAGCTCCGGGGTTGCGCTTTCTTTTTCCCGTCAACAGGTTCCCGCTTTTTTTTTTCAACCCTCAAAGAATCACGGCATTTCGTAGAGTAGACCACGGCGATCACGTTTTCGGAATATTTATTTTTATCAATATTATAGCAGAGCCGAATATTAGCACAGCCTTTATTTCGAAAAACAATGCCCACGCTCCTTTCCTACGCCTTACCAATACTCCTCTCCGCGCATGACGCTGCGTAGCATGCAGCTCGTTGATTGGTCTGAACCAGTCATGACGATAGGCTAAGCCTTTCTCTGGGACAGAGAAGGGTGATGAAGTCCCGCGAAAACTTGAAACCAGCTAAAACCGATGTTCTAACCGCTGTAACTTCCATAGTAGAGTACGTATTCGCAAAAATTCTTGCGGTATCATGTTAAGAACAAAAAAGTGCACAAATATTTTATTATGCCAATTTGTAGACCTCGGTTCTTTAATAACATTGGCAGGGGCAAAGAGTGCATTGCTGCACACACAAACACACACACAACTACATATATTTAAATATATATATATATATATATATATATATATATATATATATATATATATATATATATATATATATATATATATATATATATATATATATGTATATATATATGACAACGAAGTGTCGTTACTTTTTGTCTTTGGTCTACTACTTCTGACTATATTCATATTTATCCTTGATTAAGCAGACTTGAGAGCAAAGTACATGTTTGTTGGTTCTTGAAGTTAAGAGCTCGACGTCAATGAGTTGCTTGTGTAAGCGCCAACGCATCGTTCCGTAAGTTTCGAACATCCCCACTCGTACTTTATCTTTTTTGTCATGAAGACCTATATTTTCCCGCAGAAAACGCTGCAAAAATAACTGATAAAAAAACATGGTAATCTTTCAGAGATAAAACCCCATTATGCATGGTGTTGGCTTCTCAGACTCAATTATTTCTCTGTTTTGTGGTACGCCTTGTGTGCTATGTTTAATGCTGCTAGTGTAACGTCAAATTACCAAAAATGCTGCAATGGTAAATAAAGTACGACATTTTCATAGATGCACGAAAGACAATGTGAGATCCCAGGGCACTATATAGTGCTACTCTTGAACAACGATTTCTTTAATTACAGAATTATTCTTGGCGCCGAAACTTTGCTGGGCCAATTTTTACTTACTGAGCAACCAGCAATGACAAGACAGGGGCTCCGCTCAGTTTATTATTCATGCGCGCGACGACACTGATATGAAGACGATGACAGGAAAAGACGATGTCAGGCGAGCTCTTAGCGCATCATAGAAGCAAATAGAATCGCTTTCTTCGTGTTATCGTTTCTTACACTGCCAGCTAGAAGAACCAATATGTGCTATTCAAAGTTGTGAGGAGTTCACAGCAAATCAAGTAAGCGTGACTTCTAATGCTTCCACACTCAAAAGAAATAAGAGAAAGCAACATGATCTGATTACATTACCCGACAAAGCGTCAATGCTGCTGTTATTGACTTTCTTCTCTTTTCAGCGCGTTATCAGGTTTATCGACTAGTCTTGTTAACCTGAAGTGACACACACAAAAAATTTAAAAAGTGGCCATTCAAGACAATAACGGAGGTTTTAATACCACAGCGTACGGACTTTCTAGACGCCCGTCCTCAATCGATAGCATGAGTGCATCTAACGGGTGAGTGGTGGCGTTATCGACTGCTTTAAAGTCTCCTTCCTGGCGCGCAAGTTTTGCTTTTTCGCGTCCCGCTACCGTCAGAAGATATTGCAAAAAGAGTAAACGCTTTATCGCAATGATGCCATTTATTAGCAGTGTGACACGTGCAGCACTGAAGCCATGTTTGCCCACGCAGTGACACGTCAAAAAGTATGAAACAAAGCAGGCAATAAATCTGACGCCAGCTTAGCAATAATATTCTATGAAGCTTATATTGAAGGGCATTCTTTTGCTAGTTTAGAAGGTGTTCCGTTTTGAAATGTCTGAAATCTTTCGCTGGTTTTGAAAGATTCCAGACATTTTAAATTGGAACAATGGCTTTCAAAGAACAGTAATTTAGTTGAATAGAAAGCGTGGCACGTTTTAGGGAATTGCGCAACCGCAAGAAGCAGCAGTTTAATATAGGGCCTCGAATTTCGTAAAACTATTTCCAGAAAACTGCATAGGTACAGCAAAATATAGTTTAGAATATGTATCTCATCGCCAATTAGAGATATAGCAGTCTTTAAGTGCATCTGATGCATATTTCTATTATACCAATGAAATAAAACGTGTTAGAGGTTTAATAATACTGTTATTGTGCGTCTAAAGGTCTTTTTAGGTGAATTTTTTTATGTCAGTTTTCAATAAAACGTCAGCGACGTATTTCCGTCACAGATGTGTCATTAATGAATTCGACTCTATGGGATGACAAACAAAAATGACGAGAAAGTTCTATCGCTGGGAACTGAAACGACGACATCTCAGCTCATTATATAGGTGTCCATCCATCTACTCACCACGCTGTCGTCGCATACGTTCGAAACTACACAAACACGCCTTAAACTTCTCGCAGATTTCTTTGCATGGTGGTCTTGGTTGACGCGGCTCTGGATGAAGCGATATGGTGCCTCCATATGGGAGTGATAAAAGAAACTACTGCGTCGTGAGAGCTCCAAATTTTCACTCGTAGCAATGGTGTTTGGAGGTGAACTTTCGCACGCTCGATTGAAGCGTGGTGCACTTTCACACTATCACGCTAAGCGCACCACACCATGGCTAGCGACCTTTTTCACACTTAGAGACTGTGTAGGAGATAGGTTGTACTTACTTAATGCGGCATTCTCCTGTACAATAAATGCCTGTCTGGCCGTTAGAAATATTCTAATATGGAAGCGGAAATGAGATATCGTACCGAAGCGCATTTTCAACCAGGTGACAAAGTATGGATATGGACCCCAGTGCGTCGGCGTGGACTTTCTGAAAAACTTTTTAGCCGCTACTTCGGGCCTTGCGAAGTACTTCATCGTGTAAGTGATGTAACTTACCAAGTCAGATCCGCTATACACGGGAGCTCAAAACGCCGCAACCCTACAGAGGTTGTACATGTAGTCTGGATGAAGCCTTACTATGAAAGATCACCGGAAGACCAGTGACGCCTACCACGAATCTATTCATTGCCTGACGCATCGGAACGATGCGTATGAGGAGGGGGATTATGCCGCGGCATAGTGCTTGCATTCATACAACGCGCCCATCACCGCGCGCACAGGGACATACATGGGCGCCGTCTAGTGTTGCGCAGAGACGATGATGATAGCACGAGAACCCAGCTGGCTCCGGCTGATGTGCACCATGCGCTTGAGATACTCTTGAAGAAGTAGAAGAAAGAGACATCTTTGGTGTTCTGCTGTAACGTTCTACGACCATAGTCCCTTTGAGTTGTGGGCACAGGTTCGCCCGTTAATAAATACGTTTTATTACACCCCGAGTCCTTCAACAACGTTACAATATTTCTTGTGCTATATGGCTTGGCACCTTTGCTGAGTATATTTACTGATGCTCGGCATTAATTAGCTAATTGCGAATATCAACATTCCCTTTTCATTTCGCACTACGTGAATTACTTAGCCCAAAGTTTTCGCGTTTCAACTGATGAGTACTGCATACGGAGAACTTGCCTTGGCACTTATGAGAAGTTCAGAGATCAATGCGAAGGTCTACACAACACACTAAAACCTAACTGTTCAGAAAATATATGTAAAATGTGCAATGAGCCAAGAAACTTTAGTTTAATTTGTTTACTCAGCTACTACAAGCGGTTTTGAATGGCAGGCGAGTGCCTACAGTATGCAGGGTGAAGGTAGTGTCGCGGGGTTGCACGAGCATTCCAGACACTCGCATTTGGTGTTGTTGCAGCTAACGCACTGCACACCACGCAGGTAAATATATGTCAAGTTATTCAGAAAGCTGTCCCTTCTTAACCACTTTAACCACACAGAGCGAGCCTCCGCCCTTTCCTCCCACTGTACACGCACGAAGGGCAAGCAAACACCTGGCAGAGATGACGCCAAGTACCTGCTCAGTGAATGTCTCTAACGGCTCTAATCAAGTTTTCCTGCCAAAAGTATATACTGCAGCCGGCGCCACCTTTCAAGACCATCGCGTTGGCGATAAAATAAATAAAAGGAGACGCAAGCCGCACCTGCCAATCAAAAAGGGGTAATGGTGACGTTGCACGCCTGTCTTGATCCTATCAGGATATATATTCGCGTGACGAGAACTGTGATCAGTAATGCAAACTTTTCCTCAGCGTGAGTTTTCCAGTCCACCCGCATAAAATTGCACATCACGCGTAAAATAATGTGAGTGTGCTCTTCCTCGACCAGTGTCACGCTTGAGTGGAGAAAAACCCACTTTTTGAGCAAATGGTGATCAAAACAATTTTTACGACGACGAGGACCACGTTTCGCGCTTGCTACGCGTGAAAACCTTTTGAGTACACCAAGCCCTGATGGGGAGCGATTTGGCCACGATGGAGTTAGAGCATGTCTATGCAAGTGCGGAACGCTGACCATGCTAGCTAGCGTGATGCAATCCGCCTAGGCGCAGTCACTTTCCTTTATTTGTTTTTCGCTTCTTATTACTGTACGATGGACACGTCGTTGGGAGCAGTGAAGCTCTAAACAATGCCGCCTACTGCTTCGAGTGCAATAAAACCGGCAAATAATATTGCTACTGTTAGTGACGCATAAAGGCAACGATGTCAGCGGGCTAATGTGGTGCCTTCGTGGAGCGAGACAAAGGTTATTAGGACGAGGAATGCCTTCGCACGTTCAGGCTCAAGTAATAAGTCTCTGCCTCCCACGCTGCCGAAGAGCACTATACAGTGGTTTATGTACAAGCACGAAGTATGTTGTCCTTTCATTCTGGATCGCACAACTTGCCGTTTCAATCCTCACTTGACGACGCTTTGAAGGAGTGAGTACTGCGTAGCAATGTTCATTATGTGCTTGATTTTGTGTGTGTGTCCACGTGCGTGCGTGCGTGCGTGCTTATATATATATAAATATATATATATATATATATATATATATATATATATATATATATATATATATATATATATATATATATATATATATATATATATATATATATATATATATATATATATGTGTGTGTGTGTGTGTGTGTGTGTGTGTGTGTGTGTGTGTGTGTGTGTTTGTGTGGAACCAGGACCAGATTGTCGTTAAGCATAATAATGACGCCATATTTTGAAACATTGGCATGATTTTGTGAACAAATCCATATTTCAACTAACTACGTTTTCAGCTACAGCAACCACAAATTGCTATCGAACATATCGTTCATCGCTAAAAAAGAAAATTTGAAGGTCTGCGATTCAGGTCAGTTGCATCTAGACAGAAATGGCCCCAGCGTATTGCATTATTTCTAGTAAGCAGCCCTCTACGCTAGAGTAACAAGGCATTCGTGCTCCTACCTTTCGCCATAGGAGACATCATGAGAAAGTTGACGCATGCTGCTCCATGTCCATGTCCCAGTATGGTGACATTCCGGTGGTCTCCTCCGAATACGTCGATGTTCTCGTGGATCCAGTGTAGTGCAGCTATTTGATCGAGAAGCCCGTTGTTGGCCCGAGAGGCACCGTCCATTGCGGGCAGGAAGCCTGCATAACGATAAGGCAAGCCTTTAAAGCATCTAATCGACTTGATGATGGACCCCTTGACTACCTGTATAATAACCCGTTTTCTATTCGCAGTGAAACCTAATGATTGAAAGTACACGCGACAGTAAGAACTGTCCGAATTAACTAAATGTAGTATTATTGAAATCTCAAGGTAGAAATAAATATATATGTCAAATAAAACAGCTTACTTCATGTTCTTAAACAATATGTAAATGCAGTAATTATAAAGCGGTTCAAATGCCGTCATTTTTGTCGCCCGTGACTTTGTTAACACTGTGAACGCGGCTAAAGGTATCCGCGATTCAGTCCATGACGTCCACTGAACCCATAAAGTATTAGGTACCAACAATGTAATTGTAGATAGTGAGCATGCCTTTCTGAAAGTCGGCGGCCACTTCGGCTGTCCGCGAACTCTGTCTTGGTTCCTCTGATTAACACATTTGCGGCGCTTCGGGTATGAAACAAATTAACCAAGTTGCGGTCACATGTGGCCGAATTTCCGAAAGTTCCATTGATTTATTCGTGGTGTTCAACGTCCACAAACCACCATATGATTATGAGAGACGCTGTAGTGGAGTTCTCCGGAATATTTACCCACCTGGGGTTCTTTAACTTGCAACCAAATCTGAGCACACGGGACTACAGCATTTTCGCATCCGTCAAAATTGAACAAATGTTCGATGCCGTTAATACAGGTATATGCTGGCCGGGACCAAAGAAGGTGCCTCAGTTACCCGACATTCCGAAATAACGAGTTTAGAAATTAGAAAGTTCTGATATATTGAGAAGGAGGTAGCTGGGTGGTGCGTTCGCATGCAATTTAGACATGATAGCGTTAAACAGCTCGTTTCACAGAAGTTCCGGCGTCAGCGTCGGCGTCAGCGTCCGAGCCATGCCAACGGGTCTGCTTGTGACTACAATGAAAAAAGCCTCCTCTGCTAGGAAATGCATTGAAAATAGCTTTCATGCTTTACAGACACACGAATCCTGTATATATGCTTCCCATTATTGCGTGGTTCAAGGGTACATTGACAGTGGGAGTCAGAACATCTGATTATCATAACGTCTTCGTAGTTTAAAGCTGGTTACACACTACAAAAGCCACATGTGCTACTGCACCTATTTTCTTAACGCTATGTGGATGCATACCAAGTTCGAAGACGTTTCATGCACTAAGCGGTTATCTACGCACTAGGAACAGGTTATCGCTATCACGTTGAACTCCTAAAAATTAAGTTTAGGGTCCACCAATTTTGCTTGTAACTAACTATATCCCCATACACGACTTACAGTGACCCGCCCCTCGTCTAAGCACCCGACTAAGTTTATATAGCTTAGAATGTTATGCGATTGAACAATGTCACCTTCTACCACGGCCGAGGCACACAATGCTTCGCATGCGCGTATTGGTAATATTACTGATGGTAAGCTTATCGTATACGTTAAGGCGACTTGTCCGACTCTAGTTACCGTGGTATGTTTTTTTTTCATTTAACGCAAGATTTTAAAGAAGCTTTTTGTAAACCGTCTCTTTTGTTGTCGGGCAGTGTTGATAAACTTCATTTCTTATAACCATCATTTTTTCGTCATCTTTATTACTCCAGCTCTATAGCTGCCGCCTGGTAACATCGTTCCTCTAACTTCAATATGACTAATATCATTCAATGAAAAAATAAAAAAATCAAGCAAACGCACAATACACTGTGTTGTAAAAAAGTAAAACGATAATCTGGGTGGAACTGGAGACAGTCACTTACTTCAGCACCCTCTTTCATGAAAATAAAGACAATAATGACGCAAGCAGTATATCTATTGGAAGTAGAGTATCTTCCTATCAAGCCAATATATTCACATTTATTTTTTCGAATTTGACTCTATTTATAGCGCTTTGCTAATACGTTTATGTCACAATGGTTACAAATATTGTGCTCTTGTTTTTCAAAGAGTGTTGAGGGCGGAAATGGCCCGTGTGCTCAGAATTGGGTGCAGGTTAAATGGACCCCAGGTGGTCGAAATTTCCGAGCCCTTCATTACGGCGTCTCTCATGATCACATGGTTTGTTTGGAACGTTAAACGACACACATCTATGAATCAAAAGTACGTTGTGTAAGAATTTTGAGAGACATTATCGAATAACCTTCCTGCCCGTGAATGGTCAAAAACACTGACCAGCCAAAGACTTCATCAATTTTAACCCGACATTAAACTCACATTCATTCACGGAAGTAGCATGCCGATGGGACCACATTCGTCCCCATCATAAAATTGCTCGAAAGAGTCGGGCGTACTTCGAATTCGGCTCTTGCTTCTGAGAATACAAGAGAAAACACTTTTTTCGTGGGTTTTGGCACTTTCAAAGTATGTAATAGCAGCGCAAAGCGCAGTAAAGAACTACCAGTTTATTTAGTCATTTCAAGATCCCTTCGAGTGCCCCTAAAATTAAGCACATGGTCGCTATCTGAGCAGTCAGTTTAGGGAGTGCCGGCACGTTCACGCTTCCAGTCATTAAAGCGACGAAGGTGCTGCTGACGTTTCTGAGGTCAACCAGTGTCGCAATACATTATGGCAGCTCCCGAGCATGAGTGTGTACGCGCATATTTCTTTCTTTAATATTTTCTGTTTAACCATTTTCTTTTCTTTCTTCCTTATCTTACCGTTCTATCCCTTCCCCAGCTGCAGTGTATCAAACCGTAATTTTCTTATGATACCCTCTCTGCCTTTAACTTAACCTTATTCCATCATCTCTCTTTTCTCCGTACAAGGGTGCTTTTGCATTTATCTCGCATCTAAATGCTACCAGGAACAACGTCCGTGACCTCTACCTTACCGACGCAGCGGTTTAGCTCGAAAAGCAACCATGCTGGATGACGAAACAGACTCTCTGTCCTAGTTGATATAATTTTAGGAACATTAAGTATCACATTCGTGGCTTCCGTGAAGCTTTAACAGTAGTCGTGACGCTGGAATAGACCATTTATTTCCCTTAGGACGCCTCCTGCTGGTCAACATACTGTGGCTTCTAGACACTTAAGCAGCCGATATATAGTTCTAAGCCACCGTGTCTTCCTTCTATAGAGTCCCAAGCGTAAAGGGGACTTTTCTTAAGCTTGAGAGTTTTGCAAACAACGTTTGTTTTTATTGCGCCACCTGAACAAGCCTTATGTACATCAGGCGCAACCTTTAAGACAGCAGCTAAACAGTAAAAAGAACGAAAAAAGACACATATCACCAAATCATGTTATTTGGACATGACTCAGCAACCAACTAGACTTCCAGTAAACAGCTCCTATGAGTAAACTGTATCGGGACATTAGCCGTTTGTTCTAAATTAGTACTCTGTTCCAATAAATGTTGCTTATAGAAGACGCCATGAGTAACTTTCATTCAAGCTTGCAGATGACAAGTCATTTCATTTTTTTATTTAGTTTACCCTCCATAGTACTAACTTTTGCAGAGAGAACTGGGGTAAAATGAACCATAGAAAGCGAACAAGATAACATCAAATAATAAGATGACTTTACATGCGAAGACATAATGTTCAGATATTACGCCTGGATGCAAATGTCGATACGCTAAGAAGTATAAAACAAACAAAGTAAAAGAAAAGAAGTAACAATAATGGTTGTATAGTAACTTGAATTAGCAGTTAGAGTATGCAGTACAATTTGGGGGTGTGCAGCAAAACAAAAGTTTTCTTTGCAATGAAGCCAAACGCAAATACAATAGCACGTTTATTGGTTGTCTGTAGAGGCGTGTTACTGCGAATTCTACTGTCTTGGAATGGTGAAACAAAATCGACAGAGCGAAATAATAGATATGAATAATTGATGTTCAGAGCACAGCGTTTGTTCTAGGGACAACCTAACAACCGGATGAAGTCGATCGAAGAAAAACGCAAATAAAATGGTGAGAGCTAGAAAAGAGCGGGTGACGTCGCATAAGTAGTAATTCTACCGCAGAGTTCAGCAGCCAAGTTGCCGCCGCACAGAGAAGTTCAGTGACCTAGCTAGGAAAGGAGACTAAGGGAAGCGGCTCCATCGCTTATCTGAAACTTCACTACTTTCTAGCAGAATACTTCAAAGAAGGACGCAGTAGTATGTTTGTTAAAAGAAGAGTACGTAACGGAACGCAAAGAAAATATAGGCAGGGTAGCACATAACCAAAGAACCTCGGCAAACGTCAGGACCTTGATATATATAGCGCATACCTCCCTCGCCATGTCCGAGTCCCGATGAAGGAACCGGAGTAATGACCTTGGCTTCTGTCGCTTTTACTCCTTAGTAAAGGTCAGTGGTAACTGGGGAAAGTACAACAGCCAAGAAGAAGCACCGCGAAAACAGGACTGGCTAGAACGGAGCTCAGCGAAAGGGAGGCGCAAGGAAATGTGGGTGTGCCGCAAGTCTTTATGACTGCCCTTCCACGGTAAATCAAAGCAAGGAGCTCCTTTCTTTGCCTTCCACGAAGTGAACGGCTTTGCTTCAGAGCTGACGAATCGGGGGGCGTTGCCGCTGGTGCCTTTAACCTAAGCGCAGCATCTGGCGCTGCTACGACGTGGTGGGCCAACAGTATGTTGCACCGGCTTCTCGCTGCTACGTCTCCTTGTTTTGCCGCTCATCCTTATCCGCAGTTGCTCCTAAGCAGTCGCACGCGGGCGCGCAAAAGAGAAAACGCAGGGATTCTCAGAGCGACCTTTGATGAAACGGCAACTCCATCCTGCAGCGAAAGCTCAAGGAGCCGGAAGCCTGCAGACATTACATGTTAATGAATTATTTCACCTCTACTGTGTCGCAGCTGTCACCGCCACACAGTCTTGCCGCAATCGTCGGGCCGTACTTATATACCTTTGCTTTTTTGTGCATTCGTTCTTCTACTGGGCTGGCTGTTGTAAGCACTCCTTTTCACTGAATACCTATACTAGTTAGGGTACCTCATATTTTTTTTCGAATTGCTCTTTTTCTTAACTGCAGGGATTCCTCGCC